CACACAGGGATGGATCCACCTCACTGCAGCACCTGGGGAACACAGGCTCCACTCGTGTGTGCTGAGCAGGCATGTCCTGAATGAGAGCTGCTGGTAGTGCCCTCTGGTTTGGCTGAGTGGCTCCTTTTTCCCTCCTCTGTGGATACACAGAGCATGTGTTGGTGATCCCCATCTGTTCCACAGCCTCATCTGTTCTTTGCATGGAGCCTTAGGAAGGGAGATGGACCAGCTAGACCCCAGAGATCCCCTCCAACCTCCACCAGTCAGTGATTCTTGAAAGGTGCAAAATAAACTCTCTGAGCAAACCCAAATCCACGCAGGCTGCTGATCAAACCCAGGGGTCTGTGCCTGCCCCACCCCAGCTCTGTTGGGGTACCTGTCCTGCTGAGGCTGCCAGACCTCCCAGGGCCAGTGCCCAGCCTGAGCTCTGATGACAGAAAACAGAAGCAGGTGATCACCAGGTGATTCCCTGCAGTCACCTGATGCTTCACCAGGAGCCTTTTTCCCCAAGAATCTCATTTCTTTGGGCCCTGGTTTCCCCAACAAGAAACACACAGAATCATTTAGTTGGGAAAAGCCCCAGTGCTGCCAAGGGCCCGACTGTTCCCCAGTGCTGCCAAGACCCCCCTGATCCATGTCCCCAAGTGTCACACCCACATGCTTTCTGAACACTTCCAGTGATGGTGACTCCACCTGCCCTGGGCAGCCTGTTCCAATGCCTGACCACCTTTTCTGTGAAGAGTTGTTTCCCCAGCATGCAACCTGAACCTCCCCTGGCACAACTCGAGGCTGTTTCCTCTTGTCCTGTCCCTATTCCCTGGGAGCAGAGCCCAACCCTCACCCAGCTGCACCCTCCTGTCAGGGACTTGTGGAGAGCCAGAAGATCCTCCCTGAGCCTCCTTTTCTCCAGACTAAGCACTGTCCTGGTGTCCTCCAGACACTTCTGCACTTCTGGCACTCAGAGCTGCAGTGCCACAGGAGGAGGCTGAAGGAGCAGCACAGAGCCACATTCCTCCACACAGCTCCCTGCCACATGTCCATATGCCAGAGTTCAGTTATTAAAATCTCAAAACCAGCCTCAAAACAACTCAGAGCCCACAGAAAAGGCCTCTGTGATACTGCCCAGCAGTTCTGACTTGCTGCTGTTCATGTATTTAAGCAAGGGCTCACAAACAGGACACTCAGGCTTGCCCAGAGATTTTCCCCAGAAGTAACAGGTGCTTCTGGGGAGCAGGGGGTGGCACAGCAAGTGCCTTCCCACCACCTGCCAAAAACAAAAGCAGGTCCCCTCACTTCCCTCTAAAGGCAGGGAGATTTACATATTTTTAGCATATCATAATAATAAAATACAAGAATAATAAAAGAGTGTGTTCCTCCCTCCAGTCATCGAGACCCAGAGGTATTTCATTCTGCAAAGGCTTTTACAGAATAATAAAAATCCTTTTCAGAACGCTGCAGGAAAGCCCAGGAAATGAACATCCTCTGGAAGAGGAGGGAGTTCAGAGAGCTTCAGTCAAAGTGAGTAGTGGGCAGAGACACTTAGGTCAGCTGCACAGACCTTGCAACCCTTTCCCCAAAAGCCTCTCCTGAGAGCAAAATCCAGAAGTTCTCAGTACTCAACAGGACCCTCTTCATGAATCCTGGGAGTAAGGAAGAGGTGAATAGGAGCATTCCCTTAAATCTCATCAGGAAACAGTGCAGAGCCCAAACTCCCCCCTTAGCCCTTGCAATGTGGAAGGATGCACCTTGGAGAGGTGCCACCACTCCTTCCAGCAGCAGCTGGAAACCACTCTGATCCCACAGCTCCCAAACCATTCCACAGGGGCAGCCCCAGCAATGGAGCCATGTCCTGCTGCCAGGACCAAGGCTGTGGCACTGCCCCTTCCTGCTCCCAGCTCCAGGAAGAGCTTGGCATGTTGGGAAGCTTGGCCACAATGGATCCCTGGGTTCAGCTGAACCCTCCCACCCAACAACAGCCCAGCCAAGCACACCAGCAAGACAGAGCCCAAGGGGATTTGTAGCTGAGCCAGAATTTGCCTGGCTGCACACAGCTACCAGGGTGAATTTAAACACAACACCTTTGCCCTAAGCAGAGATTTCTGCAATCAGATCCCTCCAACAGGCACCTAATACCTGGTACCTCCAGTCTTTCAATAGCTGTGTCCTCCTGTCACACTGGGAAATGGAGAGGCACCTGTTTAAATGCTGACACACAGAAAGAGACTGTGCAGCCCTGTCCAGAAAAGACCAGAGACTCAAATCTGATTGTCACAAGTCTGTTGCTTCTACCCCTAAGGCCCTTTTTCTACTCCCTCTTGTCAGTCTGCTGAAGACAGGGAGACAAGAGGGAATTCCACGCCATCAGCCTCACCAAGGGCAACAGCAGACAGTGAAGCCTCCTCCCAGGTTCTAAAATCTTGAAAGCCAAACAGCACTGATTTCTCCCCTTATTCCCATCTCACCATAAGGGGTGACTCCCCCAACTTCCCCATCAAGTACAGACCAAAGTCACTCACTAAGTATTTGTGCTCCTGTTTTTCTGCCAAGAAAGGTTTGTGTTCATCCCCGAGACAGCTCAGAGCAGCTTGGCTCTGTGCTGCTCCACAGCAGCCAAAGCATTATCAGCTTTGAAGGTGGCTGCAGGCAGGGACAGAAAAGCATCAGGAAAAGCAAAGTCTATCCCAGAACTCCTGCCCAGCCTCAAATTGACTCCCCAGTACTCCACTTCCTTCCTACACTACACAACTCCAGGGACGAGGACATGCACAGGCAGGATACCTACCCTGACTTGTTCTATTGACTTACTTAATTTTTTAAAAGAATATATTTATCTGTTCCTCTCTGGAAACCAATCACCCGCTGCTCCTGGGCCCTTTGATGCCTGGCAGCCTGGCTGATCTCAGCAGGGCTTTTGAACCCACTTCCATCACCACTGCCTGGAGCGAGCTCTTCCCACGCAGCTCGCTGCTCAGTGAATCACAGCACTGATCTTCCTGTCTCCAGGAGCCACGCCACACCGAGTGGGGATGAGCTCTGCTCTCCCTTCAGCAGGGGAATAAGGAATTCTCACAAAAGCCACTCCTGTCCCCACAGGACACCAGCGTTATCTGCGCCAAGACCGGCAGTTCCTGTTCTTGCCCCAACATCCGCTCCACCACCAAGGCTGGTTCTTCAGGAAATTTATTTCCACATGTCAAGATATCACTTAGTTCCTCAAACTACAGACTTGGAGTCGTGAGCAGCCTCAGCTGCCACACACGAGGCTGCAGAGACACTGCCTTTTTTAGTGCCCAGGGCCAGGTGTACACTGGAAGTTCCTAAATTTCAGTTCTGGCTGTGCCCATAGCAGGGAGTTCATCTGTGAGCTGAAACACCTTCCAGCTCCTTAAGGCAACGGAGGGATAACTGGCAGTCCAGAAGGGATAATCTTGCAGGAAGGACCCAGCTCTGTTGGCAGAACCCCTCTAAACCAGAGGGGACAAACCCACACAGCACAGATCACCGAGCAGAGCTGTGGACCGCAAGGGTTGGCACACACAGCAACAGAATTCAGGAATCGCACAAAATATCTTTTTTAAAGGTACTCAAGTCTGTGCTAGAGAGTAAAGACAACAACTTATTGGTTTCACACTGTTCCCAACTCAGCAAGAAGACCCAAGAGAGGACCAGAAAGGAGCAAAGCCTGACATTGCTGGGAGGCTCTAGAGTCATGCAGCAGAGCCCAGGAAGCACACCCTGGGCAGCAGCAGAAGGCAGCAAAACGAGGACTGCATCACAGATACTGCACCAACATCACAGCAAACACCTCCAGGGGAAAGCCAGGACAGCTCAGGGACACTCAGCAAGCAGCTATTCCTCAATGACCAGCAGCTCCAAAGAGACTCAAGCAGGTATGGACACCCATCCAGGCTGGAGTCCACACAAAGCAGGCATTAGGCAAAGGCTCAAACGTTATCAGCACAAAACAAGGCAGCCTCTGTAGCCAAGCCTCCAGGCAGAGGGATTTTGGATGCTTTTTGATAAATCTCTCAACCTGTCAGAGACTGAATACAGGACACCAGCCCCCCAAAACAAGAGAAACTCCTCACTGCAAGTGGCTGATGTGGAAGGGGCAGAGGCAACAGCTCAGAGACACATCTGAGATGCTGATTTCATCAAGGTGGGATAAGAATTGGGGGCTGGAAACACTAATATGTTTTTAAGAGGAATTATTTTTTTGTGTGTTTCATTCCTGTAGATCTGTTATTCAGAAGTGTTTCACTGCTTTTGCATGAAAACAGTTTCTCTGGCTCTTCTACGTTCAGAAACTCTTGCAACTTAGTGCCACCCAACCTGGAGACACAATCCTCCACCTGTGGCACTACAGTGTGGTTGGAAGGCCAGAAAGAAAAGGAGCCACGAGAGCGTGGCAAACAAGGAACTGAGATCCCATTCCCAGGCAGCCACCTTGACAATTCAGGCGAGGGAAGAAGAGCTGGGATGAGTCCTGCAGCCCATTCTGCAGGAGACATCAGCCCCCCTGTGTAAAGCCAGGGTTTGGCATCACCCAGATCGGTGCGAATTTGGCTCTGGCTTCCCGAGGAACTGAACTGAGCCTCTGAATGCAGGGACCCAACACTCAGTAGGATGCAAAGCAACTCGTGTCGCGAAGGCAGCAGCCGGGCCGAAGCTGGGAGGTGAGCAGGTGAGCAGGGGAGCAGGTGAGCAGGCTCCTTCCCTCCTCCTTACCTTCGCAGCCGGTGCTGTAAGTGCTGGTGCTGCCGCGTTATAAGGGCACTTTCCCACACGGGGCCACCGGGGCTGCTCCTATACCAGCCCACGGCCGGGTGCCCCGGGTAGGGCGAGCTACCGAAGCCATGGTCCGACTCCGTCTCTGCGGCCAGCGATGAGGCAGAGCTCCCCATGGTTCCCCCCTGCCCAGGCCACGCTGAGATTGAGCCTAGGTTAGGTCCAAGCCAGTGGCATGGGCAGCTCGGGTGGAACGGGCGAGGCGCTGCGGCATGGGCTGCTGCAAAGATCCCAGCACGCTGGACAAAGGAAGGTCGGTTCTGATCAGAGTTGGAAAAAAAACAACAAACAAACACAGAGAAAGGGGGGAAAAAAGGAAAGAAAAAGAGAGAAAGATAAGGTACGATTTCAGCAACAACCCTCCAGTTTTAAAGCCTATCAATGCATGCTCTGAGCAGGGTCCCCATCCCAGAGCTCACTGGGAAGGGAAGGGATGTGTCACTGAATCCAGCTTTTGCTGCTGGAGATGGGGAGTGCGGGGGCTCTAGAAAAGGCTCCCCCCAAGTTAAGCACCAGGAGTTGCACAGGGAAGCACCGACTGATGGAGGGAAGCACAGCAGAACCCAGCACAAAGCCCTTCACACATGGGAAAGAAGCAGAAAATGAGACAAGCCAGGCCCACCTGGAGCCCAAACCAGCAGCCCTTGGGGACCACACACACCAGGTTAGTCTGGGCTCTGACTGGCACACCAGTTTTAGTTATTCAGCTACAAGGACTGAATGGCTTGTGTGCTTACACGTAAAATAAAATATTCCTCTTTTCCTGTTTCCCACTAACACCCCAGTAGGGCCGGAACTGGACAGACTGGGGATCTGCACAATTATTTTCTGTGACTATTTACTTTCAGCCCAAGGCAAGTTTTAGCTGATCCTGAGCACACTCCTACCCACACAAGCAAGTCTGGGGCTTTGCTCCTCCTTTTCTCCCTCTCTCTTTCCTACTTTTCGGAATTTATTCTTCAAGTGTCTCACAATTAAACTGTAGGAACATTTCATGTCCTTTGTATTAAAAGAAGTTTAAACACATGCACGTCTCTTCTTCAAGTGAAAAGGCAGGACAATCTGGATGCATGTCAGGATCAAGGTAACATTTAACAGAGCAAAAAAGAAGAAACAAGGAAGATGGAAAAATTAGCACAGCTGAGCTTATTCAATTACCCACCAGGATTTAAGGAGATGAATGAACCACAGAAAGACCTTTGCAAAGAAACTACTTTTGCTGTAGAAAGGCTGAGATGAGGAGTCCTAAAATACAGCTTTTCAATCCCAGGATTGATCTAAGGGATCAAGAAAGGCCTTGATAGATAATAGACTCCCAAAAGGAGCAGCTCAAGGAACAGGTGCAATTTTGTTACAAGCTCAATACCAGAATGTGCCTGCATAAGGTCATTAACTGGAGAATGTTAACTGCTCTGTCATGGTCTCTGTAGCCTGCAAAGCCTGGATGAACCAAACAAATCCGAAAAAAGCCCAAGAACACAGTTTCCCTACCTCCTCCTTGGTATAATTGGGATGCCTCCCTGCTGTGCATCAGCCCCATCCCCAGTACCCAACAGCAAGGTTTCACTGATTTCTGCACATCCACCCAAAGTGAATCCCTGGCACATCCTCTCTCATTTCCTGCTACTCAAGCAGTTAATTTGTAACAAATCTGATTTTCTGGCTAAATGGAAGCCACACGATGTGAGGGGAAGAGCACTTCTAAATACCATCAGCTCAGTCTATCTGGAGACATCAGCCATCCCACACCTGGGGCGTCTCTGGCTCTTCCACCCCATCCCAGGAGCCTATGTGCTCCACCAGCAAAGGCACAGGGGATGCAACTCTGACACCTGCTAGAAGAACAAACTGCCTCTTACCTCAAAAACTCAGATTCTATCATGATAAAACAGGTAAGAAAAGGCAAAATGGGTAGAACAGCCCCTCAATGCAAGCTGAGCCAAACAGAGGAAGGATGCCCAGGCATCAGTAGCCTTTTTCCCCCTTGAGATGGGTGAAACTGCCACAGCCTGCTTCAAGATCACTTCCTCAAGCCGGTAAAGCAGAACCCTTTGCCTCCTCCTGCTGCCCATGGAAATGCCAGTTTCAGCTCATCCCAAGAGGAGACAGACGTGCCTGCTGCCCGCATCGCTGCCGGCTCCCACCGTGGTGCCGCTCTCCCGCCCGTCTCCACCAGCTCCACGCCAGGAGCCAGAACAGGCAGCTCTGCCCTGCAGGGAGGGGAAAGGCTGGGAGCCTGCTTTAGAACCTGCAGTAAAACCCCACGGTGGGTGGAGCTGGGAGAGGAAGGGAGCTATAAATAGGTGGAGGATAACCTAGCTAAGTCGGAGTGATCTCCGAGACTGTCTGGTCTAACTGGGCTGCTTGGCTGTGAGTGCTGCGTGAAATCCGATTTCTCCAGGCAAAGCAGTAAATCCTTCTCCTCAGGGTCATCCTCATGCCAGGTGAGAGCAGCCAATGAATGATATTGAAGGGGGAGCGTTGACCAAAGGTGGGGAGAGGGCGAACCAGTCTGAGAACAGGAGTGGCAGTGGTGTTACAGCCCAATGCAAAGCACGTACGTGCTCACTACGCCAAGCCCCAAAACGCCTGTGGCCAACACTAAGCAAATGAGGAGCCTCCAAGAAGTCAAGGAGAGAATGGAAACTGCACCCCAGAAAGGGAAGGGGACAATTAAAGAAGAAGAAAGCTTCTCTGGAAGCACTCAGCCTTATTTTTGAGGCATTTCTGGCACTGGGCAGGGAGCTGCCCTAGGATATGACCTGCAGGCACGTGGCTGAATGGGATGTTTCAGCCACTAAAAGGGAGCAAACTGCCAAGAGTTCCTCTGTCTTGGCAGGAGGGAGCAGCATTTTTCCTCTAATTAACAAAGCACTGCTTCTACCTATCTAATCTGGAGAGGAAGCAACAATGTGAACAGATTGAAGTGTCTTGAGAAGGGTGGATCTCACTCAGGGAAATTAACAGTTAGGCACCTTAGCGAGATGCTGAGTTTGGCTTTTGGTTTTCTGCCCCTTGCAGCTGCAATAATTACCAGGTTTGAACTGATGCTGGGTAACTGCTCCCAAAATACTGCTTCCAAAATGAAACCAGGTTTGATCTCACCACCCCCAAGCCACACACAGCTGCTTAACCTTATCTGTGGTACCTGATGCAGACCCTCCCTCAAATTCTCCACCAGACCCTGGGCAGCAGGCGTGTACAGAGTGTGCAGGACAGCAAAGCTGTCCCATGGAGCTCCTCCTGCTGCCAGGACAGCAAAGCAGCTGCCTGGATGCTTCCACATAACCTTGTTCCTCCACACCAGTGAGCAGTGCTGACCCTTTGGGCCCCAGCTCTCGTGTCACAGCGGAGCAGGCAGGAAGGGTGGGAATCTACCCAACCCCCTTTCCTTCCCTCCAGTTTCAAAGTACATTTTGGCTCTGAAGAGAGAAAAAAAATTAAAAAAGGGAACTAGCCCATGTGTTTCAATGCATCTAGGAAGTTGCAGGATCAACTTTTGCTAGCATCAGCCCCCAAGCTCTTCCTTTGGCACGCAGCAGGAAGAAGAGACAGAGGTCCCTGGAGCTGCTGCAGCCACTGTGGAAACCAGGGAGGCAGACTCACCCCTGGTCCCACATGCAGCAGCCCCTCTTTGTGATGAGATACCCCCACACTCCTTTTCCTAGTAATTTATTGATCCCTGTGGCACGAGCCAGCTTTGCTCCTGCTTGAATTTTCCAACCTCTCTTGGTTCTCAGCCTTGGAAACTCAGAGAAAAGACTTTGCCACTTCATTAATTCCTCTACTCCCCCAGCCTATAAATCAAGTAAATTCTGAGCTACTCCCTTGCTCCAGGAAGATCCAGGAATGAAAATACCATCAGACATACTGAGCTCCAGACAGCTCTGGTCTGAGGTGAGGGGCAGCAGCTGGCCCAGGAGAAGGCTCACCATGTACCTGAAGGAAGCACATCCCTCAAAGCTGTGCCCAGGGGAAGCTGCAGGAGACTGTTCTAAGATTGAAGCTGAAGTACCAGCCCTTCTCCTCCCTCTGCTGTGTGAGCTCCTCTGCCTGGGGGCTGACAAAGATCCACAGACTGTCCTTAGTTGGAAGGGACCCACAAGGATCCTAAGTCCAGCTCCTGGCCCTGCACCAGGACTCCTCAACAATCCCACCCCGTGCCTGAGAGCATTGACCAAACACCCTTGGAGCTCTGGAAGCCTGGAGGCAATGACCATTCCCAGAGGAGCCAGATGTGCTGGGACCTGGTACCACCATCACCTGCAAAGAAGGAGATCTCTGCCTTCAGTGCCATGTCAGCTGCTGCTGGCAGGGAGAAGCCAGGGCTCCTGAAGAGCTCTCACTGCCCAGTGCCCACACACAGCCCTGGAGAAGCAGCCTCCTCCCTGGGGACTGCAGGATGTGACTCACACCCTTAAACACCAAGGAGCTCAGGGACAGCTGGAGGAGCTGGGGCTGTGTGGGAGCATCGAGCTGGAGGAGACCACTTCAGACATCCTGGAGGAATGGCCAGCCCTTGGCCTCCCACCAATCCTGCCTCCATGCCCAGCAGATCTCCCCTGAAGGAGGCACAGGCTCAGGGAGGCCGGGGCAAGCAGGGAATGTGTGCAGGGCTGGAAGGTGCACAGCACCAGATGTGGCAGCCTAGGAAGGTTAAAAAGTGCCAGAGCAGGTTGGGATAGCTAAGAATGCAGAGGGGAGTGTCTGATGGTATGCTAGCCAAAGAAGGAAAAGAAACTCAAGCACTGTTGTGATCTAGCCAGCCTCCAGCTCCAGACAGGGTAGCAGGACCTGAGGATGTGCAAAACCAGGCACCAGCAGCAAGAAGAGCACGGTTGGAATTCACCAGGCTGAGATGACCCTGAGAAAAGAAGTAACCCCAGGACAGGAAGGGAGAAATCCTCTTTTTTTTCACAAGGCAGCAGGGGAAAAGCAGACAAGCAACAAGACACCCACCTCAGGCAGACAGAGCACTGAAACCCAAGCTGCAAACACTGACCCAATGAGAGCTCCACGGCTCAAGTGCAGCAGGAGCAAGTGAGCTGGAACACTCTGTGCTGAGCAGGTGTCCTGCACACAGCTGGGGACAAGACAAAGTTTTGCTGTTCTTTCTCCCTGCCCTCATCTGCCAAGCCAGCCCAAGTGCTGCAGTCTTGGCAGGAAATGAAGGTGTCAGCAAGTTCCAATTCCTTGCAAAGCTTCTAACAGGGAGGGGTGGGAAGGCACCTCCAAGGACAGACTGAGGCAGGG